TGTGACCAAACAGAGCAGAAGTGATGAGAGGCTGATGGCTGTTCCAGGCAGGGATTTACTGGGGCACCGAGGAGAGGTCAGGGAGGGTCAGGGGAAAAGGCAAGGATAGGTCAGTATGTCCCCAAGGAGAGGTCAGGGAGGGTCAGGAGGGAAGGCAGGGACACGTCAGCATGTGTCCCCAAGGTTGGGGGAGGGGATCGGGAGGCAGGCAGGAACAGGTCAGCATGTGTCCCCGAGGCTGCGGGGGGTGGGGTCCGGAGGGGCGCAGGGACGGGTCAGCATGTGTCCCCGAAGTCAGGGGGGTAGGGACATAGAGGCGGGACTTACTAGCACCTGGGCACTTAAAAGTCCTGCTTCTCCTCGAGCTGCATGTCACTGACAGGTTAAACCTCCACCCTGGGCACAGGTTTTAGGATGGTAATGAGGGACCACGGGGAGAGGTGGCCACCAGGGTCCACTGAGGGGCAGACGGTTTCATCGTGTCTTGGCCCGTCCCTGCTCAGCGTCATCCCGGCGCGCTCCTACCACATGTGCTCCTCAGGCACCTGGCTTTAGCAATTCCTCCTCTTCCTCACGGAGGAAGGCTCGCTGGATCTGGGGCCAGGGCTGAGAGGACCCGGGTGCTGGCCCTGCTCCGTGTCAACAGGAAGAATTAGAGCTCTGGAAGGGTGACCCTGTGTGACAGTGCTCAAGGCTGGAACAGGACAGGCACCGTCACGGCAGCGTCTGGAGGAGCTCTCAGAAACACTCCTGCGGAAGCGGGGCCTCACCACTGTTCGGAAGATGGGCAGCTGCCTTCAAGATTGCAAGTGTGGGCGGGAAAGACAAAGGGCAGAAGAGAAGGTGTTGTTGGGACAGAGGGAATGATCCGTGTTCGAGTTTCTGTTCTGAGATGTGCTGTGGTCTTGGGAGACAGAATGTTCTGGGCTGTGACAGAACGTGTACTTCTTGCCTCCACGCCCGAGAGCCCCGATCCTGCCAAGCCTCCCTCCTGTCCCCGGGTAAGGCTCACTGAACTGCACAGTCATGTCAACGCCCAAGAAGTGAAACCATCCAGATGGCAACTTCTGTCCACATGCCCTCGGTGGCTCACCTTCTGCTCCTGAGAGCAGAGAATGGCGCTGGTGTCAGGCTAACTAACACTCCCTTCCTCTTTACCTCAGTTTCTCACCACCTGTGGGATGGGAGGACAGTGTGAGCAAAGCACCTGGAGTCTCGGGGGGAAAGGAAGGTTAACTCAGCCTTGGGCATACATGGCTCTTCGCGGTTCTTTAAAGTAACCCCACTTTCGATGTTGATGCTCTATTCTTAATCTTTAATATGTTTTCTATTATTAAAAGTTTTAATTAAAAAATTTAATGTTTTATTTTTGAGAGAGAGACAAAGAGACAGAGAGAGACAGAGCATGAGTGGGGAAGGGGCAGAGAGAGCAAGGGAGACACAATCTGAAGCAGGCTCCAGGCTCTGCGCTGTCAGCACACAGCCCCATGTGGGGCTCAAACCCACGAACCATGAGATCATGACCTGAGCCAAATTCGGATGCTTCACCAACTGATGCACCCAGGCGCCCTCAAGATGTTTATTATAAATCACATCAGATAAAGGATTGTGAATTACAGGGAAAACTGGGACATTAGTTTTAACTTTTTGACTGAAGTGAATATACAGGAAAGAGCCCAGCACAGGGAGCAAGGACTCTCCACAGAGAACACGTACCCATGTGCTGGGCCCTAGGTCCAGGTCCCTTCCAGGCACCACCACCCCAGGAGTAACCATCACAACTGTTAATGGCATCCATGCCTATTTGAACTTGACACATTCACGAGCAGGATGCACCAGGTCTTCGTACTCTCAGGATCTGAGATCATCGCCTGTGTGGTTGCAGGGTCGCATCCCAGTGGCCAGAAACACGACAGTCTGCTCCACTGCTGATGAGTGTTGGGGCTGGCCCCGGTTCTGGTCTGGGATGGACTTTGCTGCTGTTTGGTGAACACGTGTACGGGTTTCCATCGGGTGGACATGCAGGAGTGTGCTGCTGGGATATAGGCTCTTCATGTGTCCCTCTCTCGGTTTCCATACGACAAAGTCAGATTTCTATGACCGCTGAATCCACATGTCAAGTCCTCATGTAGAGGGGCCGTGTGCCAAACAGCAGTCCATGTGCAACGGCCTTGTGAGACTGGAGAATTCATGTTCATTGAACATGCCTCGTGCACCAGGCACTGGCTGGGTGAGGAGACCAGACGGGCAGGAAGCTCAGCAGCAGAGCCAGGGTGGGCATCAGACGACTAAAGACTTGAGTACGTATGTATGTATGTGTGTATGTATGTATGAGAGAAAGAGATAGAGACAGCGTGAGGAGAGGAGGCTCAGAGAGAGAGGGAGTCACAGAATCCGAAGACAGGCTCAAAGGCTCTGAGCTGGCTGTCAGCACAGAGCCCGACGTGGGGCTCGAACCCACGAACCATGGGATCATGACCTGAGCCAAAGTCGGACCGAAGGAGCCACCCAGTCACCTCAAGGCTTGAGTATTTAATTGCATGTTTCTGTTTGACCTTTTATAAAAATAAGCTGAAAGTAAAAGGGAAAACATTGATACTAGTGATTGGCACAGGTCTCACAGATACTGAGCAATGGAACCATGGATGGCGTCTGAGTGATGAGGGCACCATCTTCTACAAGATCTGTGGCTTCTCAGCTTTGGAATGTGAATAGGACAATTTCCAAGTAAGAGTTTCATCCAGACACTGTGTCCAAATGTGTTTAGTCCTCGAGTTCAGGCAGCAGAGTCTGGACAGAGAGACACCTGTCACACGGATGCATGAGTCAAAAACTCACTGGGTGATAAGGTAGCTAATTAGGTAGTTAGGTAACTCTGAGCTTTTGGAAATAAGATCCTCCTGTGGACATGACTTAGACCTGTTTGTGGCAATAAACTGCGAACGAAAGGGAGCACCCACCTGCTCTCCAGGGACACTGGCCCAAGGTCTGTTCTCTGCTCACGTGGCTCCTTCCTCTCCTGTATTTCTGTCCCAGCTTCAGGGCTCAACTGAGACCTCACTTTCTCGGAAGAACTTCCCCGGCCCCGTTGTGACCCCACCCCTCCTCTAACCGTCTCAGAGGTCTGCTCATGCTGGTTTGCAACTGCCTCTTCCTGGTCTGAACACTGTTAATTAGGACATTATTAGTCTGGCTGCTTTAACAGAGACCAAAATATAAATGGCTTAAGACAGACAAAGGTCCGGTCCATCAGTCTGAGAAAACTGCTCACAGATGCCTAGAGACCTTGGCTTCTTACATCCTGCAGCTCTGTGGCCCGCCAGAATGTTACCAGGTACTTGGTAGAAGCTGTTTGTGATCACAGAGCACAGCCCCATGAAGGGAAAGGTGGCATTAAGAAGTCAAGCAGGATCTTCTTTCTGACACCGGTTGCGGTCTTTGGGGACGATCCCAGAGACTCTGCTTACGGGCTCAGATGCAAGGCTTCCACACAGGCTGCCCCAGCTGACAGCTATGCAGGCCAGGTCAGGTCACTGTTCTCGGCCCACCTTGTCACCAGAGGAAGAAGGGTGAACAGACCGTGTGGGACTATTGCTGTTCGTGCCACACACCCCAGCCTGGGTGAGGAGTTCTTAGGTCACCAGCACCAAGTGTTCATGGAGACCATGGAGTGTCTCCACATGTAAAGAGCAGGATAGAATTCCGGATGTTTCTGAACAAAGGACTGGGTCTTTTTCACAAGAGGAATAAGATCTGGGCAGGTGTAACTAGAGCATCAAGTGTTCTGTATTCGTAGGCAACTGTGAACGAGCTCTTGACCTCACTTCCATCTAATGAAATGGAGGCGCCATCTAACCCCCCACCCTCACTGTGAGCTGGGGCCAAGAACTCATGACTGTGTGTAGCCTGTACATCGTGCTTACATGGCACCACCTTTCCTTCCTTCTGGAGAAGCGCTGGCAACATCCACTGTGACTCTAGAGGGTTAGTCTTCCACCTGCTAAGCGTCTGCTGTCCACCAGCTATCAGGTTCAAGGACACTCGGCCTGTCCGGTCATTCACACTTTGCATTTTGTTCAGCCTGAGCTCAACTACCACAAGGAGGAGTGTTCAGACCTAACATTCAAGTGTCAGGAAAATCGTTGCCTTTTCTCATGTCCAGCACACATGATTTGCCAGGTGGCCTTTTTCCTTCCATGTGGCTGCAAGAACGGTCAAATCTACTACTCAAATTTAGGGCCTGAGACCTCCTGTTCTTGAATTAATTGCCTGTCATCCCTCATTATCTCTAGCACACGATGCTGCTCTGCTGCTCCTGTGTCCTCCCCCTGGGGTCCCAGAGCCTCGTCCTCTCCGCACCCCTCCCTGAGCCACGACACCTGCGGGAGGGGTCATGTTAGAGGTTGCTGTGCTCCCGTGAGCTCCTGAATAAAAAGGAGGCTGTTTTATCTGCCAGGTTTGCTTTTATCTATTCATATTTTCTCCAGTTCATCATCAATTCCATCTTAAAAGTAGCAGAAACACTTCTGGAGCGTGAGGAGGAGTGGAGACTCTGGGAGAGGCTACAGCCACGGACCCCACTGTGAGCAGCACGGTAAACGAGTAGCAGCAGAACACAGCACAAACCAAGGTTTTCAGGATGCAGCTGTGACCTGTGGAAGCCTTGCAGGGGTCATGTGAGGAGGACGACAAAAGGACACAGCTGAGTCTGAGGAGGAAGGGGACACTTACGTGGTTTCCAGCACCTTCCACAGGAGGGTACAGCCGGGGCAGCTGGAGACCTGGAAGGGGCCCGAGGCCACCGGGCAGCAGGTCTCACGGCTGCTTTCTTGATTGATAGGTGGTTGTGGGGGTGTCCTGGCGGCAGGTAACGAAGTATTTGGGGGTGAAGCAGCTTCAGGTTGGCAACGTACTTCAGATGCTTATGGGATAAAAGCTCTTTTTACTGTGATTGCAACTTTTCCACAGCAGTCAAGAATGATTCAAAATAAACATTTTATTTAAAAAAGTTATCAGTGATTTTATTTCAACAGTTAAACATGTTTTACATAAAGAGAGGGGAGGGTGTTCCCACGCACGGGTGGCAGATGGGAAGCATCTTCAGCTTGGAACGGGCCGCGTCACTCTGAGAAGAACACACGTACACAGTGTCAGGTCGGAAGTGGAGTCACCGGCTGAGGGACCTCTGCAGGGCTTCGTACATTACCTGGTCCTGAGAACAGGGGACAAGACACAGAGCCGGTGAGTGTAAGGTGGGCTGAACTGCATCCCCAAAACACGTACGTGGATGTCCCAGCCCCCCAGAGCCTCACAGTGTGACTGTGACTGGAGAGAAGGTCTTTAGGGAGGTGATCACATTAAAGCGAAGCCTCTAGGATGGGCTCTAAGGCAGCATGGCCAGTGTCTCTGGAAGGAGACAGATGAAGACCAGACAGGCACAGAGACACCGTGTGAGGACTACAGCCTCTGGACCGAGGAAGGAGCACCCACTTGGCATGCAGCCCACCCGACGTGCACTCCCTTCCACGGGGAGCGCCTATGACTGACTCCATCGTTGACTGAAGTTCGCCCTAAAAGTCAGGTGATAAGCTGCTTACAGCTCCATCCATGCAGCGAAGAAAGCAGGATTCTAAAGTGTCCCAAGCCTGGATAGGAATGGGGACAGAAGCATCTGCAGGGAAGTGCCAGGGTGGCTCCAGAGGGGGAGGCCGCTCTCAGGGGGACCTCACAAGGCCTTGCCTGGGCCACATGCACATCTGAGGTCTGGGGAAGCAGCTCGACTTCTGCTTGTTTAGGCCCAAGCAGCATGTGCTTGTGTTTTTAGCCCTCGAAGATGTTTTTAAAATCGAGTGTCGTTATTCTCTTGGATGTGTGAAGTGTTCGCAAGGTTCAAGGGCAGAATACACAGTCAGAAGTGAACAAAGACCCCTCTCATCAACGCTGTGTCACAAATACTAACACTATGTCTCCTTCACGTTTAACAGGAGTGGTGGCAGAGCACACAGGACCCCTGCTCTTCCTGATGGCATGTTTAGAAGATACTAGAAGACACTCCTCCTCTCTTCAGAGTTTATCGCTCAGAGCCTCACAGCAGAGCCATCGTCGCATTCACTGCTTCACTGTGTGTTTCCAGGGGAAGTTCCCAGAGCCACCGGGCCTGCTGCAGTGGGAATGCTGGTTGAGTCCTAGGAAAGGGCTGTGGTCCTCACATCCTCACATCCCAGCCAACAAGCATGATCAGGTTTTGAGATCTTTGCCAACTGCCAGGCAAATAGTAGTGTCTTAGTTGCTTTTCTTTTATGATCAGTAAGGTGAGAATTTTTCTATCTGTTTAACAAGCTCATGTGCTCTTCTGTGAAGGGTCTGTTCCCATTCTTCATCCAGCACCTATTTTCTAGCATTTTCTGTGTTGGTCTTTTCCTCAATTTCTGGTCATTCTGATTCACCTTTGTGATATAAACTGCAAATGTTTCTCATATTTGGCCATTTGTCCTTTGACAAGTTTTTCAGCATAGAAATTTTTATCCTTCTGTATCAGATTCTGAGTCTTTCATTTATGTTGCCTGGTATGTTGATGAAAGGAAACAAGGCACGCCCCACTTGAGCTTCCAGGTAAATCTTCCAGTCTCTTCCTACCTTCACGGTTTTAGATTTTACATTTTAAGCTCTTCCAACCCCCTGCCTGCAGTGTGATGTGTGAGTCTGACTTGAACTTCTGGAGACAGCTTCCCAGCTGCCCTGACATCAAACACCATGTTTCCATCACTGGTGTGGGGACACTATTATGTACTGTTTATTATGATCAATTCATGTACCACTATCATAATGTTTTAATTATTGAGGTTTGTGTTGTTTTAGGCCCCACCCCGAGCTTGTCTGTTCTGCAGCCTCCCTAGCTATTCCAGTTTGCTTGGTTTTCCACATGCACTTTCAATTACTCCAGTTTGGTCCCCAAAACAAGCAAAAATTAAAATAAAAGACCAAAGTCATTTAAATGACTCTGAACAGTAACAAATGACCTTAGCACTGACATGTTTGCTGGCCTGCCTGGGGAACTTTTGCCAAAGGGACATGGACATCCCTAGCTCCTGGCAGGTACGAGAACAGGGCTGTTGACACGTGCGTAGAAATGCAGCCTCACTCACAGAAGCAGCCACGACAGGCTCTTCTGCACCTATGACGTATGAGGTTTCTGACCCTTTATAAGTGAATTTATGACCATTATCTTTTATTCTGAGGACACTCTGGAGTCAGCTAAAGGTGGAATGGATGTTCTCTCAATGCCACGACTCTGACACAGAACCTTGACACAGAGGGCAGGGCAGATTTTCCACTCAAGAAGGAAACCCATTTCCTGGACTGCACTCAATGTTTACCCCGATTTGGGAGAAAAAAAAGTCTATGTACTTATTTCACTCATTTTTTCAAGTACCTCTCAAAACAGTTTCAAAGGTAAACATAAAGTAGGTATTAGTGAAATGCTGAATTAACTCTGAAATAGGATAAAGGGTTCCTGTATACCAATATCACTGCTAAATCATAACAGAAAAGACATTTTAAGCATGCTTTGCTTCTAACCAGGTTAAAACAATTCCTTTTCTGTAGTAAAATAACTTTTTAAAATTCTAAAACATTATTTATTGTAGAAATATTTAAAAATGTAGATCAGCAAAAAAACATCCTTCATTTTCAGAAGTAACTATTACTTCTATTTTTGGTCTTCCAGAACTTTTAAATTACTATTTTTTCAATATTTAATTCTTTTGAATAGGTAATACATTCACGTGGTTCAAAGTTCAAACAGGTCAACTTTTGAACCCCAGCCCTCTGGCCAGTCTCTCCCCCAAGCAGCTGTCACTGCTCTCATGAGGGCCAGTTAATCTGCCAAACAAAGAGGGTGCTGCCTTCACCTTGATGTCCTGTCTTATTTTTAAAAGATCAAACAAATTAAAAATCAGCTCAGTCATCTGCTTTATTTATTACTTATTCAAAATTCATACTATGCCTACTTCCAAAAGAGAAGTTGTAGCTTCTTATTCACTAAATTTTTCAGAAATCAAATATTTAAAGATTTATGATCACCAAAAATATTAAACAGAATGAGTACTGAGTCTCACCAGCACATACATGTAGCCTTCCATGGGATGTTCCTAAGAGGATAAAAAAATTTTATAATGTCTGGAATGATAGATTCAGAAATGTTTTTAATAAAATCTGTCACACTGCCTTTGTCATGCGGCTGAGACCTTTTAAGCAAAGGCTACACGCAAAGCACCTGCTGACACAGACGGACTGAGTGACCAGGTTGGTCCACGTTCTATGCACAGGAGCCCTGTCTTTTGTGATTTCTGTATCTGCGAACCCAGCACAGGGCCTGGCACATGTGCACACCTTCGCGATAAAGGTTGAGATCTGGATCTCAGGCAAGCCCTTACAACACGGCTGGGTGTGAGGACTCTGACTTGAAATGTTTTCCTCTCAAGTGTCAATGGAGTGGGAATAATCAGGGAAATGAGTGAACCATATACTCCTGAGTGTGAAGAAGAGAATTAAAGAGCCATGGCCACTGGGTGTGAAAAACACGACTTTGATGAGCTAATAAACAGAGTTTCATGGTGCGGCTTTCACAGAGGAAAGAAAAAGGAAAAAAAAAATCAGACCATATGTTTGAGTGCGGTTTACTTTCTGACAGTGGAATAGCACCAGAGTAAGCAGAGTAAAAAGACTATAATCTGAGATAATAAATATCTGGGGGAATAACCTCAAGGCCTCAACATTTATCAATGGCCAACTGAGCCCAGGTCTCAGGTTTCAGTGAGCAGTGAAACCAGCACAATGGTTATGCTGCCCGTGAAGCGACGACGTGAAGTGACGCACCCAGGAGGCAGCACTCTGAATTCTGAGACGCAGCTGGCGGCTGGCCGTCTTAATTGTCGGGCGTCTGTCCTAACAGGTTGACAGCCTAATAGGTCCTCTCAGGACCAAACAGCACACAGTAGCTGGGGCAGGGATCTCTGGCCCCATCGGAGTCGGAGGGAGCGAGGACAGGCAGGGATGGAGAGAAAAAAGGTCCGCTCATGGCCACCATCTCTCACCCTCAACCCATTACTGAGGGTTTCTTGGGTCGGGTGACACATTTGCATTTGGTCTCTGAACTATGCCCGCCAATGAAGTGCAGGACACCAAATCCACCTGACCACTGTCCAACTCCAAATGAAGAATCAAGTGGCGCCAGGGAGGAGAGCGCTCCAAGGTTAGCAGGCAGGTATACCTGGTGTCAGAACGTGCTGGGTATTTCAGGACTAGAAGGACTGGCCCTGCAAATCTGGGGACAGGACATGCACACCTTTCTTAGATGTCTCCTGACCATTTATTCAGCGTTAATCTGCCTTGAAGCAATTGCCACTTCTGTAAGTACGTCTTCAGGCTAAAATGTGATTGAGTGCTCCTTTCATGTTTAACAAAATCTAGTGATTCTTTTTTAGCGTGAAAAGACGACTCAAAATCCCAACCTGGCCACTAACAAGTCAATTAACTTGAGTACCAGAATCCTATCTACAGATTTTCATTCTAGGGCTTGAAGTGATGACCTTTATAAAAACTCTGGGGGACCCACAACCCAGCCTGGCTAGAGTATCTAATCTCCTAACTGGCCACACTGGTTGGTTCTGGCATGGGGTCCTAACCCGGGCTGGGCTGACCACAGGCTTCCCTGACACCCTCTCACCAGAGTCGCCAGGAAACTCTCTTACTGGGGGGCATCTGGGCCTGCAGGCAACCAACTTCCCCCAGGAAACCCTCCAACCGTGCTCTCATGACTCTTGTTTTGTGGATGAGTTCCATTTCCCCCACTTATCTTAGCTGGATTTGGTTTTCGTCATTTACAACTAAAAGAGCCCTAATATTAAAAGCAGAAAGGTGGCTTATAAATGAGCCACTCAGTTTCACATTCAGAAAAGCAACACAACAAACGCTAGATCTTTCTTTTGGTTTGATTTTATTTCCTTTCGGTTTGGCTTTTGAAATGGATTCTATTTGACCCCAACCATGCCTCTACTGTCAATGGAACTGTCCTTAACCAGAAGGCAGAGGTTCTTTGCCACTGCTCAGAACCAAGAAAGACCAGGTAAAAAGGAGGAACAGAGACCCCCTAATAAACAAAACAAACAATTCACCAGAAAAAGTATTATGCAAAGGTGGTAAAGCAAAGACTTAATCCTTAATTAAGTGCAAGGATGGAAACCTAGAGAAATCTAGGAATCAGGTCAAGCAATTTTCGAGCTTTATGTGACACATCTGTAGCTATTTGTAATAAAATCACTTGAGCAACAAACAGGGAAACTTCGCAATTATAGCAGAAATTTAATCTACAAAATTCACCTTCTTGGAGCCAACAAAAAGTAAGAGTCACAAATGAGCTAGTCAAGATCAATATATATAAACCAACTGAACTTTTTTTTTTTTTTAATATTTTTATTTATTTCTAGGAGAGAGAGAGAGAGAGAGAGAGACAGCATGAGCAGGGGAGGGTCACAGAGAGAGGGAGTCACAGACTGAAACAGGCTCCAGGCTCTGAGCTGGCAGTCAGCACAGAGCCCGAGGTGGGGCTCGAACCCACGAACCGCGAGATCATGACCCAAGCGAAAGTCGGACGCTTAACCGGACTAAGCCACCCAGGCGCCCCAAACCAACTGAACTTCTATATAATAGCAACAATTAGAAAACAAAATAAAAAAGATTTACAAACAATATAAAAAAGTATAAATTATTTGGGAATGAAGTTGATGAAAGATGTGTAAGATATTTACACTGAAAACTCATAACATGACTGAGTAAATCAGGTGGATCTAATAAGGGAAATGAATTTAAAAAATGAATAAATTGAGAAATTAAATGAATCTAAATAAAAAGACCAATGTACTAAATTTATGAATTTTTAAACTCTGCTCTCACAGCTGATCTACAGATTCAGCCACATTCAAAACCCCAGCTAGCTTCTTTTGTAGGAACTGATTTAGCTGATTATAAACTTTATGTGGAAATGCAAAGGGCCTAAAATAAAACAATTTGGGGGGGTGGAAAAAGGTACAGATTTGGAGAACTTACACTATCTGATTCCAAGACACATAATAAATAATCCAGACTGTGGTAAGAAAGACATAGCACCATAAAGACAGATGTAACGCCAATGGAGCAGTACAGAAACAGATTCACACATTTATCATCAGTTTTCATTTTTTTTAAATGTTTTTTATTTATTTCTGAGAGAGAGAGATAGTGTGAACAGGGGAGGGTCAGAGAGAGAGGGAGATACAGAATCTGAAACAGGCTCCAGGCTCTGTGCTGGCTGTCAGCACAGAGCCCGACGTGGGGCTTGAACTCACCAACTGTGAGATCATGACCTGAGCCGAAGTTGGACGCTTAACCGACTGAGCCACCCAGGCACCCCCATCAATCAGTTTGCAAACAGACAGTGCAGTAATTCAATACCAAAGTCTTTTCCATAGTCGAGTCAGAGTCAGTAAGGCAGCTGTGTGGACAAACATAACAATGGCCCCTAAGTCACATCAAACTAAAACAGTAATTTGAAATGGATCACAGGTCTAAATGTAAAGGCTAAAACTATTAAGCATCTAGGAAAAAAAAAAGGAGAGAATCTCTGCAAACTTGAAATAGCCCAGATTTCTTATGACAGAACACATAAAGCATAAACAGAGGAGATATGTCAGCCTTCATCTAAATTAAAAGCTCCTGCATCCGACTTTGGCTCAGATCATGATCTTTGGCTCAGGTTCATGAGTTCGAGCCCTGCAACTGGGCTCTGTGCTAACAGCTCAGGGAGGCTGGAGCCTGCTTCAGATTCAGGGTCTCCCTCTATCTCTGCCCCTCCCCTGCTTGTGCTCTCTGTCTCTCAAAAATAAATATTCAAAATAATAAAAAATAAAAATAAAAAATTAAAGATAGCTTTATAATTTTTGTTACCTTCTTACAAGGGAAAATCCATCAAGAAAGAGAAGAATGGAACAGCTATTCAAAAGGAGGTGGCCTGGGCACCTGGGTGGCTCAGTAGGGTGAGCATCTGACTCTTCGTTTCAGCTTAGGTCAAAACTCACAATTTGTGGGTTTGAGCCCTGCGTTGGGTTCTGTGCTGACAGCTTAGAGCCTGGAGGCTGCTTCGGATTCTGTGTCTCCCTGTCTCTGCGCCCCACCCCCCCAACACTGGCTTTTTGTGTACGTTTCTCTCTCAAAAAATGAATAAACATTAAAAAAAAAGTTATATAAATAAATTAAAAGCTTCTGCTCTTCAGATAGTTTCCTCTGTATGCACATCTGATAAAAGCCTTCGATCAAGAATAAGCTAATAATTGGTACACATTTATAAGGAGAGAAAGAACTCAAGTTTTTAGGGGCAAATCCCAAGGACAAGAAACAAGAAAACCAAGTGACCAGCAAGCATGTGAAAATATGCTCACCTTCCTGGTTGTTTGGGAAATACCCACTTAAACCACACGGGACACTTGGGTGGCTAACATCCCTTGGACGGTTGACATTAAAGGACTGAGACACCCTGGTGTTTGTGAGACCGTGGAGAAGCAGAAGCCCTCACCAAGCATGGGTGGAACAGCCTGTGTCTGAGACCCAGCCAGTCCTGTCTGGGTGTTCACTCATGAGAAGTGGAAACACATGCTCATGCAAATTAAAGCATGTTCTCTCACTCTCCCTTGCTCTATCTCACATACTTTCAAAGAACCTTTATTCATAAAAGCCAATCGTGGAAACGGTCGAGTGTCCACAGGAGAAAGGACAAGATGCTGCGGTATATTTACTCTGGAAAACCGCTCAGGAAGGACCAAACTCCCAAATGCACAACATGATGAACCTCAGAGACATTATGCTGAGACACTGGACGCACTGAGTGTGTGTGGCATGGCCCCACTTGTTTCAGGTCCTTAGATGGAAGAAGTCAGGGCAGGAAGATGGGTCAGGCCCAGGGTCGCCCGGAACACTGGCCTTCGCAGACTCACCAGGACCTCCTGCGGGAACAGAAGGTCCCGTCCGCGAACTGCGGCGCCGGCCACAGCTGTCGCACGTGGCAGGACTGTGTTGTGCTCCACCGCATGTCAATAAGGTTTCCACTGAAAACAGGGAGGCTATAAAGAGCAGCAAATGTGGGGCCAAGTCCACATCTAACTCCTGGGAAGGCCCCAGGCTCCAGGTGCAGGCGAGAAATCACTTCAACTGCAACAATTTTTGTAATGACTGAATCTTCGGGAGCTTATGTCACTAGTCGCTTGGTGATCAGAAGGAAGAGCCCCAGTACTATGAACTGTAAAACTGTCCCTGGTATTAGTCGAGAAGACCGTGTTTTACGGGAAGATGCTCAGGGGAAGGAGCACATGTCCCTGTGGTGGACAGAAACCCCTGGGAGGGGAAGGCAGACCATGGTTTCTCTACAGACGGGGGAGGACCTAGTCCCGGTGCAGCGGCCTCTCACTTGACTCCAGGTGAAAGGCAGTCAGTCACATGCCTCAAAGATACCACCAGCCCAAACCAATGAACTGGTTACTGTAGTTAAAAGTGGTAAGGCGAGGGGTGTCCGGTGGGCTAAGTCACTAGAATGTGCGTCTCGAGGTTGTGAGTTTGGGTTCCAAGATGGGTGCAGCCATCACTCAACAATTACATCTTTAAAGGTGGCCACTGAGAACAAACCTGGAGGTTCCGGGGCAGGGCAGCCCATCTCCCATAACCACCTGGACTTCTGACTCTCCATTTCCGATCAGTAATTACAGTGGGAAATACTAGGCCTGGGGTAAAAAAATGGCTAATGATTTAAAGGAAATTTGAGTCCTGCAATTAGGTCTCGTGGCTAAGGCATGTGACACTCCTAGGGCACAGAAGACATGAAAGAGAACGAAATCGATGACAAGAGAATTCAAGCCAGAGGCTTCCTAGGGTTGGACATGCCCCGCAATGCTGTCACCACTGCCACCCAAGTTATTACAGATGGGGCCCCTCCGCACCGTAAGAGGCACACACACAAAATCTGATGTTTTATGTAAAGTGATGTCAGCTATTTCCTTTAGCCTTTCTCCAACCTTCCGCGGGGACATTCCCACCAGGTGAGTCTGGCCAGGCAGATAAAAGGCTGCCTGCAAGGGTAGAGAAGCTCTGATAACTGGTGAACCAGACGGATTAGAAATCCCAAGAGGGTGGAGAGGGGTCATTCCCTTCTGGCTTCAGTCTTCCAAGAAATATGCAAAGCTATAATCTCTCAAGAATGTTCTCACAAAAGCAATTATTTTCTTTGTTTTCATGAGCTACCAGTCACGATTCCAGTCTCTTTTCTGTACACACTTTAGAAGAATTTCTTACCTTTTTTGATATAGATGATTTTACTTTCTTGAAAGCTTCTTCGAAGTGCTTCTGACTGACCTGGAGCTCACCTGTGGGGCAGACGCACAGTGTATTCACTTCTCAGTAGTCAAGGGAAGGTGGGATCACATGATCACATGCTTCTACTCTTTTTCAGAACAATTCAAGCCTGATACAGTCTGCTCATCACATTTTTGGGACACTTTTTCATCTTCATTTAATTTACACACACCTGACCATATTTAATTTTACACAAGTGTGTGAATTCTTGATTAGTGTCTATTTTAGTGTAATCTTTTCCCCTTTAGCAATCAAAACAGTTTATTTTGGGACAACTTATATAAAAAAGTACTTTGTTCATCTTTAATTAAGAAAGATATTCTTACCCTTTAAAAAAAACCAAAACAGTTCATGTTTCTACTACCCCCCCCCCCCCCATTTACAGAGATATGTTGACATCTAACATCTGTAAGTTTAAGGTGTACAACGTTGGGGCACCTGGGTGGCTCAGTCAGTTAAGCGTCTGACTTTGGCTCAGTTCATGATCTCATGGTTTGTGGGTTCGAGCCCCACGTCGGCTCTGTGCTGACAGCTAGCTCAGAGCCTGGAGCCTACTTCAGATTCTGTCTCCCTCTCTCTCTGACCCTCCCCTGCTCACGCTGTCCCTCTCTCTCAGAAATAAAGAAAACATTAAAAAAAAAAATTAAGGTGTACAACGTGATGATCTGATACATGCATGTAGTAACCACCACAAGGTTAGTTATTAACACCCCCCTCCCCTCACATGATTACTTTTTTAATGTGTGGTAATAACAATATCTGTCTTAACATCTTTCAAATAGATGATCTATATTGCTAATTATAGTCATCACGTAATACATCCGGTCCCCAGAATCTGCTCGCCTCCCAGCAGGAATCTGTACCCTTTGACCAACGTCTTCCCATTTCTCCTACCCTGTATCAGGTTTTAATGCAGAATTCCCCAGAGATATCACTCCTAAAAAGATACCCTTTAGGGGCCCTTCTTTAACAATGTTTACACCTTAATGGTGATGTTTAATGAGGAAGAACCAGAACTATTTTTTTTAAAAGATGAATTCAAATAATTTAGCTGGGAACAAAAAGTATTATTCCATAGTATTTATGAGTCCATGGGACGCCTGGGTGGCTCAGTCTGTTAAGCATCTGACTTTGGCTTGGGTCATGATCTCATAGTTTGTAAGTTCAAGCCCTGCATCAGGCTCTGCACCCTGCTTGGGATTCTCTCTCTGCCCCTCCCTAACTCAAGCTATCTCAAAAAAAAAAAAAAAAAAGAAACAGAGAGAGAGAGAAGAGAGTCCATACATGTAATTATAGGTTATGGAATTACAATATCACAATATATATACAATGTACAGAGATAAAAACACAATAATGGATCACGAGGGGTTCTAATTCTTTTAAAAAATTTTTTACAATTTTATTTTAGGAGGTGCCTGGGCAGCTCAGTCAGTTGAGCATCTAACTCTTGGTTCAGGTCATGATCTCACAGTTTCATGAGTTTGAACCCTGTGTCTGATTCTGTGCTGGTGATGCGGAGCCTGCTTGGTATTCTTTCTCTCTCCCCTTCTGCTCCTCCCCTGCTCACACTGTCTGTCTCTCTCAAAATAAATAAATAAACTTAAATATAATAAATAAATTAAAAAATTTTTATTTGCGAGAGAGAGAATGCACAAGTAGGGAAGAAGGGAAGAGGCAGAGAATCCCAAGCAGGTTCCATGTCCAGTGCAGAATCCAATGCAGGGCTCAGTCCTACAACCATGAAGTCATGACCTGAGCCGGAAACAAAAAGTGTAGTTGTAGGCATCAGTCAGCAAGAGACCTGTTCACAGTCCCTGGAGGACAGAGACCTAGAAGTTCTAAGTACAGCAGGGCAGGGGCATCAGAATGTGCTGAATGATCACTATGTCACGTCTCAACAGCTCTATTAGTAGCGGCCAGTATGTGAAGAGAGGCCTGTACATTTTCAGGGAGAAATCCCAAATACTGTCAGACTCTGCTCTTGGGCAGTATGCTCACACGATGTTCCTCACAAGATACTTTCATTTTGCATGTTATATCACCTACTTCCAAGAGGAATCTGAAAGAGCTTACGATAAAAGAAGTTCAGGTACCTGATTCTGACAATTAAACAACAAAATTTATGGCGTGGATGGTGGGTACTGACAAATGTAAGCCACACAGATGTTGTGTGATGGGAACAAAAGTTAGTTCTGAGACTCAGTAGCCAGAGGAACAAAGGGAGGAGAAAATCAGTAGGAATAAAAAAAGACAAGTTTTGGAAATGCAAGGGACAAAAGATCAACGTGGACTTGACCTGCAGATGAAGCACAGGCTGAGAGGACAGAGAGGTGTGTGTGAAGGTCCGCGGGTGGCAGCAGAGCACGGCCACAACTGCAGGCGACCAGGCAAGTGTGGCAGAAACCAGGCGGGATGTGGGCTCCTGGACAGGCCCCAGCAAAACATCAGAGAAAAGCTGCCAGGACACGGTCACTTTCCAGGTCAACAGTGGCTTTAGCAATCCAGAGTGATAAGTAAGAGGAACTGAAAAATTCTGGAAAGAAAGGTACCTTTCTCGCTCCCGCTCTTCGGTCCTGACATCTCCTGTCTCAGGGCACAGACAGAAGCTTCTCGTACCAAAGCAGAGAGGTCTGCACCCCTGTAAAAACAAAACCATCCTGATTTATTCTTAGACACTGCAAAGAACAGAAAGAAGTCTGACAGCAATTTTAAGTCATATATTATACAATTAGGAAAGAAACCTACCTATAAAGGTGGGGTAAATGGATTATGGTCAATAAGAAAGAGCTTTTCACTTTTACTTAAAATTTTTCTAACTTTCAAAAGACGGGTAGTTACGATGCAAACAAGGCAATGAACCATAACTACTCCAATGCTAACAGCTATAGATACTAACGTTAATGTGACAAATGAGTCGCCCAGTCAACAGAAAGAAACAAACATACGTGTCGTAAAGCCTTCATTCACAAGGCCTACGCTGCCAACCAGCTGACCGTCCACACGCTACCTAATGTCTCGAGTAAGCTTCTACAAGAAGTCATTTATGGCACCCAGTTCAAAAGGGGGAACGTAAAGGCCAGAAAGTCTTTAATGCCTTTGACTCAAGCCCGAACTGAGTGGGCCTGTCATAAATGACCTACAACAGGAAAGCTAGCAAGCCTTCATGTAATCACGCTGTGTGATAACAGACCGAGTCAGCATGGTTCCTGAGTTCGGTGGAAAACGCCGGTGCTGACTGGTGCTTCACCACATTACATCTTTAACAGAATTCTTGGAGCCCTTTGGGAAAGAGTTTGAATCTAGGGGGAAAAAACTCATTTCTAGACATTAAACTTATTTCATGTCTGAAGTTGACAAACCTGATAATATATAAAATTAAATGCCCACAGAGCTTACATAATGAAGTGGATCCAATGTTTCTGCGGTTAGGGGCTGGTTTACAATGCTACTTAATAATTACATGCATGTGTGGGTGTTCATTGCTCTCCTTTACAGTAAAACCTCTCACACAGGTGTGGAGACACCTTTATCACAAATGAATAGCTGAAGCCTAGAATTATGTCTTTCAAAGTGTGAAAACAGCGGCATAAACCCTATAAGTGTACACCATTCAACCATAACCTTGACCCTTTATAATGTACACCCCACACTGGAATCCAAGGATTTGGCCTGGGCTTACTTAGCTCTGCTGTGAATGGAATATCTTTTCAGATTTTAGCACTAGAAGCTCTAACTACTCACTTAAGCCTTTCCTCCATTAACAGTAAGTTCCTAACAGGCATGGGGTGAGGGGGAGACACTCTCCTTATAGGGTGGGAGGGGTGTCACCACCAGGCTTGGTGCTCTGATTGCATCCTGTCATCCAGACAACCCCTGATCATGCACCTGAGCCAGGGCTGCTGGACAAAGAAGAGGCTTGTGACCCTGGACAACGTATGAGAAACCCTGGACCCTGGACGTATGAGAAAGCGAGGAAAAAGGAGGTATCCTGACTGCCCATCCCGAAAACAGAGTGGTTTCAAGTGCAAGCGTCTTGAGAAGAGACACACAACTCTTCAACCAGAACTGGAAATGACCAAGTGCCTGTTCTCTACACTGCTGAAGAGAGACTCCTGAAGGCCTCAAATGTGAAACATCAACTTGCTTATTTGGCTTTGACCTACAAGAATGTCCTGAGCACCAAGTATACTGAAGATAACCAACAGGGCTTTAAAAATAAGCCAGACAGGCAGATGTCTATCCGTGAGTTAAATGTGAGTTTCATTTTCTTCTCTGTCTCCAAAGTGAAAGTTAGCAAAGGTCTGATTTCTGGCTTCTACTGTCGGCTGCTGGAGGCGAACACCCTGAGCCATGGGAAATGCAGCTCACACCTTACTCTTGGAGGTGCCAGAGCACCTGGGAACACACAGCCGACAATGAAAGGTTGGCTCAAATGTTCCCGGAAAGGGAAAGACAACCGGTGAGGGCAGGGGGGCTGTGTACCAGGACTCAACACACAGGACTGGACTCCCCTCCTGGGGCTGAAAGTTCCTCGGGGCCTCAAAATGGGTGGTCCCTTCTCTAAGAAGGAAGAGGCCAGAAGAGGGGTTTTACAGGACCTCCGACTCAATGCTCCCCACACGACCACCTTCCCCCATTTCGCCCGAGGCAACGGAGCTTCGGAGACGTAATGGAGCAGAGAAGCAGGTACTCACGAATAGCAGTCACAGCGAAGGTCCCCAGCAAGGGCTTCCAAACTGACATCTGCGGCCAGCGGGGGTTTGGTGCCATTCTAAGAGAGAAAAAAATCAGCTTCCAGTAGGGTTTAAAGTGCAGTACTTTTCCACATTCTAGGTTCTTAATAAACAGTAATGACTGACTCAATGATAATCACTGACTCCTAGACCAGTGTGGAAAGATTTTTATAATTTCCAATTTCGAGAAATAAGGTTAAGAAGCAGATGCCAACATTCAGAAAGTTAAAGGCAAGTGATTTATGCCTGTGACGTCTGAAGAAACTGTAGTCGTGGCAGGAACAAAATCCACCACCTGATGTTGTCCACAGGGAGGAGCACCTCTCTTTGGCGGGTTACACATGGCAGACTCTGGGGCAGTGCTCTGCTGTGACGTGGGGCTGGCCAAGAACCTGAACGGAGACAACGACACAGCCCTCCAGGCTCCGTGTGTTCTTTTGGAGCTCTTATCTAAACCCTGATCCAGACATTGGTGCCAAGGCCTCTCCGACTCACACACCAAGGGAAGCTGGAGAGGATAAGCGTCAGAACACGCCCCACAGCGCCTTACACGTACACTGCAGATTTAGTGACATTTCAGTGACTAAAACCACAGAGGCAAACAAAAGTTTCTAGTGCTTTAAGATGTGTGAACTGGTCAGATGGTAGGTATTTGCTTTACTCTTCTGATTCACAACTTACACATACGCTGCGTACAGTCTTCCCTTTGTAGCAAACACTATGTTAGAACGCATAGGAAATAAATCAGCCTCAAGGTGAGTTTTAAGGATCAGCGCGGCTGGTGCTCTGAGGCAGAGGTCATGGCCAGATGGCCGGGCACTGCACGCAGATGCCCCGTGACTTATCACTTCTTCCCAGCTCGGCCTGAGTAAGGATTACATAAACTATGTCTGCGAGCTGCTATATTTGATAAAATGCAAATGCTCATCTAATATAGGTTCAAGAAATAGTTGTGTTTCCCGCTCGATCCACTTTGACCTGGGAAGTCATCCAGGGGAATAAACTCCAGGGGACCTTAGGCAAACACTCTTGGTGCTTTTTTCTATTTTCCTCCAGCTCTGTGTAAACTAGATGGCCAGACGGCACGATCTCTTCTTCTTCTTTTTTTTTTTTAATATTTTTATTTATTTCTAGGGGAGAGAGAGAGAGACAGCGTGAGCAGGGGAGGGTCAGAGAGAAAGGGAGATACAGACTCTGAAATAGGCTCCAGGCTCCGAGCTGGCAGTCAGCAGAGAGCCCGACGTGGGGCTCGAAACCAAAAACCGTGAGATCATGACTTGAGCTGAAGTTGGATGCTTAACCGACTGAACCACCCAGGCACCCCAAAAAAGGTAATCTAAATATAACTTAAGAACAAATGACTTACATAGATGTAAACCGGAACCATTTCTAGGTGGAATTTTCAGCAAATGGTTTTCAAAATCTTTTGGTTACTTGTAACCTTAAAGTTTTGCTAAATTAAACTGAGTTAAGTGAAATTCACTGCATGTCTAGGTCACTCACAAATGAAGTACCGAAACGCTACTAAAACCAGGTTCATCTACTTTGGCTTTGCAGAGGGACACAAGATACTTGGGTACATGTTTTGGAAACATGTTTTGTGTTGCCAAAACATTTACTGTGAGAAAGCATACATTTCTAGAGATTCTAAGTATTTACAGGGGTGCCTGGGAGGTGAGTGAAGAGTCCGACTCTTGATCTCAGCTCAGGTCATGATCTCATGATCTCAAGACCTCTGTTGGGCTCCTTGCTGGGCATGGAGCCTACTTAAAAAAAAGTATTTAGAAATTTGCAAAGGCACAGAAGGCTAGTGAAGCAACAGTTCACAATTGTTCACTTCTCAAGTTTCATTATAAATTAAGGTTTTTAAAAGTTAAAAAAGAATTTCAGTCAGGTAAGACTGAATACATTTAAGGGTTAAAAAAAAAGTTTCAATACCAAAAATGTGCTTATGTACAACTGAACCCGAATTTGCTCTCAACTGCGGCAAGGCAAGTTTCCTTGGATTACTAGTCTGCTCTTAATGAGAAATTACATAACTGTTGAACTTTCTATATTTGCTCAAGAGGTCTTTAAGTAGCCCAACACTTAAACAGGTGTTTCACAGTGAACTATGATCCTAATCTGACCATATGTTTTAAGACCTCTGATATTTTTGACAAACTTCCCAATTTCAAATCCTAAATGAAGTCTTTTTATCTTAGAATTAACTTTGAAATTGACCAGAGGGCCCCTAAAACATATCAAAAGATTTTTTTTCTCTCCTTCTAGAAAAGAGGGAGATGTTGAAGCAAGGCTCACTTGATAGTACAACCAACATACTGAATAAGAAGTACCACCAGGGTTCTATTTGTGTAGTTCTAGAACTACTGCAGAAAGTAGAGTCTGATATGTCCTGGAATAACACTGTATAAAACCAGTTTTCATTTAAAGATGCTGTGTCACAGAAACAATCAAATCTCCTGTCAATTCTATCACAGTGAACTCTAATCAGATCTTTAACAATGGGCATTGTTTGAAGGTATTTGTCATTTATAGAGAGTTACTGTTTTACTCAGGCGCTTTTGCAATAATGTTCCTGCCAAAGTGGGTCATCAGGGAGGTTCACAGCAACGCCCTGGCACACACAGGTTTCTGGTAACTTCAAGATCATAAAAATGAACTGGGTAAGAATTTCTAGAACTAATGGAAAAACCTGATTCAAACAGAACAAGAATTGGTAACATGGGACTAAATGAACGGAGGTCACAGATTTATCTCTGGCTTGAAGCACTGGTTCCTTATGTTTTCTTTATCCAGATTTGAGGAACCATGGATGACTTACACTAGTCAGGTAAAGTACACCTTTGTAAACAAAGATGAAACACCTATCTCCCTACCTGATCCCCTAACATCCAAAAAATGAAGGTAACTATAGAGATAAACTTATTTGCACCTTTGTCATTCTCCATTCTAATCCTGTTCAGTGCCTCTGAGGCTTTGTTATGCACCTGTCACTAGACCAGGTCCTGAATTCCAGTTTCCTCAAACATCTGGTTACAACTCTCCAAAATAACACTCCACTCCCCCTGCCTTGCCCATGAATGAGAACCACTAAGAACAAAGTCTGCCTTCTGATCTCTGAAGGAGTCACGCCAGGTGGTCCTCACTGCCCAGAGGGCAACAAACTTTTGGGTCTTCACCTCTGGGTACACACCACACAGTTGAAGAGGCTCCACCTGACACCTGGTCAGTCCTGCACCAGCAGTGCCCAAAGGGGAGAGAAGCAATCACCATGGAGGTGGGCTGCCTCCTCCCAGCACACCAAATGGAGCCTCCATACTTTAACTAAACATACCCCTCTCTTCTCTCTCCTCTTCCCTGGCATTGGGCTGAGAAGATGTCCTCAACTGTATCATCCAGGCCAAGACCAAGGTGGGTAATCCAACCTCCAAATGACTGCTGGACCTGCCCCAATCCTCCTGCCTCAGTTTCTCTTGAACAAACTCAGCCTTTCTCCATCATGCCTGTCTCTCTGAGCCTACAGTCTATTTCCCTGTCTTTAGTTAATGACCCCAAATCCAGGGAACCTTGCGTCCAGGTTCTATACAAAGGAGATACAGGGCACAGGTAACCAGAATAAAACCATCTGTGTGGTCTTCAGACCCTAAAAGTTTGCTGGACTCCATGGCTGTACCAGCACACACTGTGAGGTGTCCAGAGGGCAGCTGGAAGTGGCACCCAGCCTTAAAGTTTTGGTCTCCTGAGGCAGGCTGTGGGCAGATCAGAAGGGGGGAGTTGTTAAGAAAGAGACAAGGCCCCAAACAGAGTCATTCATGCCAAGTCCCAGTCAGCAACAAGACTTAACACCCAACCCAACCGTAGTCTAGCCTCTCCTAAAAGGTGACTTTCAGCCCACAGGCCTGGAACTCCCAGTCGCCACCAGTCAGGGGACCTCTTAACATGGAAGAGTGGTCAGCACTAGTGAGACAATCCCCCTGACAGGCCTTTCCGATCCCTAAGGAAGGTGACCTGGTCTGAAATGATTCACTTCTTGCTAATACACTTCCTTGTCCCACCTCCTTTCTGCCTTTAAAAGCTTTTCTTTTTCTATAGCTCTTCTGAGTTTGTTTCTACCTGCTGGACGAAATGAATGCTCCCAGATTCATGAACTGTTGAATAAAGCCAATCTGATCTTTAATTACTTAGGTCAAGTGTGTTGTTTGACAACAACGTGAATGTACCAATGCCAAAGAATGGTGCACTTAACAATGGTTAAAATGTGGACAGTGATTTTCTCTGACCTTGGCTGTAGAGACATTTTTCCAGATAGGTCTCCTTGGGCAAGGGAAAACCAAAGTGAAATTAAACTATCAGGACTAGATCAAAATAAAAAGCTTCTGCACAGCAAAGGAAACAATCAGCAGAACTAAAAGGCAGCCTACGAAACAGGAGAAGGTATTTGCAGATGGCATATCTGATAAATGGTTAGTATCCAAAATCTATAAAGAACTTTACATAAGTCAACATTGAAAAAAACCCCAGATAATCCTATTAAAATGGACAGAGGACCTGAAAAGAAATTATTCCGAGGAAGATACACAAAAGGCTAATAGACACATGAAAAGATGTTCAACATCACCAAATATCAGGAAAATACAATCAAAACCACAGTGAGGTACCACCTCACACCTGTCAGAATTGCTCAAATCAAAAAGACAAGAAACAACAGATGCTGGCGAGGATGCAGAGAAAGTGGGACCTTTGGGCACTGTTGGTGGGAATGCAAACTGGTGCAGTCACTCTGGAAAACAAAGTAGAGTTTCCTCTACTATAGAACTACCCTATGACCCAGCAATTGCACTATGAGGGATTTACTCAAAAGATAGAGGAGTGCTGATTTGAAGGGGCACATGCACCCCAATGTTTATTGCAGCATTATCTACAATAGCCAAAGTATGGAAAGAGCCCAAGTGTCCACTGACTGATGACTGGATAAAGAAAATGTGGTAAGTATACACAATGGAGTATCACTTAGCCATAAAATAGAATGCAATCT